GTGATGCTGGTATTTCATTTAAGACAAAAGGATAGTCCGAAGATGCGATCATTCGAGTATTCCAGCTTCATGACCTGTGTTTGAGGCAAGACGGGTTTCTGCAAGTACGGAGGTGGAGGTTTCACTAGTCCTTTTATCCACTAGGAAATTTTCGCCAGGGGTACAAACAAACATGCAAACTTGATAAAAGAATTGCTGTAATGATTGAAAGCGTTTAGGTTTGTTAATTAAACTGTTGTAGCCTTAAGCAGAAACGTCAGTATTATAGTATTGTAAGTGCTTGTCGAGTTCATATACCAAAATGAACGCCACATATAGAACTGGTTGAGGTTGAACAAAAAACTGAAGACCATTTACATCAGATGGTTAATTAAAAAATTAAGGCAAGACTATTATGGTGTTCTTAAAATTGGGATTTGAGGACAAAAATAGACCTCGATTTAGTACATTTCTCCTCAAAACATAAGTTTTGCAACATTGTGATAGTCTGAAGTTTTCAATTGGTTTTGCATTTGTGCATTTACGTGCCGCATGTATTGTCCGTTTCCCAACTCTGCTCATCTTACCTGTATAAGTTTGGTACTCAAAAAGTACTCGAATACAGTGCTGCCAGAAACACATTCTTTATTTGCGTAACGCAGAGTAGATGCATGTATGGATGAGAGTGCAGACTAAACCGTTTTGCTGTAATCACAAATCAATGTTTTATTTGCCCCCCCCCAAAAAGTAGCTTATAAATGACATATCTTCACACCTGACGGAATCAGATCCACTCTAGTGACGACCCAAAAATTAAAAAATGTCTGGTATGGTGGAAATTCGAAGGGGAGGAGCGAGGACCACATGAGAGCCGTGCATAGAGATGTACCTCTGAAGTATCATTTTACGAACCTATTAGTGCCTCAACCGTTGATCCAAAGTTTTTGTAAATGTTCGTTCTCTATTTCGGCTATTGGAATGTTCGAAGTAACCTGAAAACTTGGATTTGTGTTTCTCACCGCCAGAAAGGGGGCGGAGGGGAAATGATGCCTGCATGCCCCAGGGTTAGGTTGTGCAAAATCAGGACCTGTTTGGAGAATCCTAAGTATTGTTTCCCGTGGGTTATTGGAGCACAATTTACCCAACACTCAGCCAAAGTTCAAAAGCTCCCACACGAGGGGGCAATGTGTTGTCAACAAACACACTTCAAGTGCTAATGGTTCAATCATAGAGACGGTATAGAAGATTCCACTGTTTCTGGTGCAACAGTTTGTTGTATGCGACGTCTCACTTTATTAATTTTTCTCTTGAATGGTCGCGCATGTCGGCATTCACTACTTCATTCAAAAGGTATCTTAATTTNGGGGTTTTTTTTTCCTTCAGATTAAATACCATTTTAGGGATATAAAAAGCAAAGTACTGGTCGGTACCAAGGAATGAGACAGAAAAGTTTGGGGTCAACAACACTAAACATATATTTCTATCTTCAATCCGCTCTTTGAATGTATTTTTGCATTGCTTGTAAAATTGAAACGGAGTCTGCAAATCAGTTTTTTATCAGTGATAAGAATCTGGAGGTTAACTATTCGCCCTCACGCACCACCATTAAGCCTATAGAAGAATAACCGTCTTTAGTTGTCCAAGCAAACTGGGTGAAGAGCACAAAACGAGTGGAGTGCTGTCTACCGTGTGCTTCTGTGCGGTGAGCATTAAATTAACTCTCTGCCCACGTACCCCAGGGTGTCGTATAACTGGCTGTAGTGCAAGACTAGCGGAAGTTTCCAGAAGCATGTTTCAATCTGGGCAACATCGTACGGCATTTTAGAGCAGCTGCCAAATATCTTTTGAACACAACAAAACAATTAGAAAGCAGGATATTTTTCTCCCGTTATATTTCCCTATTTATTTCAGGATACTTAAAGAAAACCCCAAAATTCACAGATAATCTAAGGAGACGCTACATGTCCATCGATTTCACCGCATTCACGCTCGCGTTCTTTCATCTAAAGTTGCGTCACTCTATTGGTTGAGGAGGAATGTGAAGCGAGTGTGCCACCACAGCGCGAGTCCTGAGTCCTGCAGCCACTCACAGACCCAAAATACCTGTCTGCCAGTTAATGTTTGAGATGCCATGGCAAAAATGGCTTCCGATAGGCCGATTGCGCCCGCTAAGTCACGTGACCTAAAATGGGTATATTGTCAACAAACACGGGGTCCACCAAAAGCAAGGTGTTTCATAAGTATCATTTACCACATATAAAGCCGAAGGTAAGTACCGCACTCGGACTACTGATGTGGTGAGCACTAAACTATAACTTGGTTGTATTGTTGGTAAACAACACTCGAAATACACGTTGCCATGGGGTTAATACCCACTGTAGGTCACTTGATTTAGCTGACGCAATCGGTCTATTCTGATATGCCAGTTAGGCAGTGTTTTAATAAGTTACTAAATTTGATGACTCAAGTCATTTTAACATTGTGACTCGAGTCGAGTCATTAGGTCAAGACGTTGAGTCGAGTCACTTTGAGTAGTCGAGTCAAGTCGTGTCGAGTCAAGTACCGAGCTCTAGTCAATTTGAGTCACAGATTTTTGAAAAAATACAGTAAAAAATAAAACTGCAAGTAAGTCACTTTTTTGGTATTTTTAGTGTCATGTAGACATACTGAAAATGAATTAGGGTGACAGGTATCTAGCCAACTGAAATTTGGCTTTAAATTTTTTATAGACTCGAGTCTTATAAGCTTGTACTCGAGTCAAGTCTCCATGAGAGATTGGAGTCAAGTCGAGTCATGTGGTCGCAGAGACTAGAGTCGAGTCAAGTCACGTGACCAAAAATTGTGACTCGGGTCGGATTCGAGTAGAGTCATTGACTCGAATTATTACAACTCTGCAGTTAGCACATGTACAAGTTTGAGTTTTGGCCTACAGTGATGAATTCTGTACTCGTTGTAGCTCGGGAAAAAGCTATTAATCACCTGCCATGAATTCTGTCTATAGATAAAGCATGTTAATTGACAGGAGATTTCCCAAATCGCATTTAGGTCCACCAGGAGTGGACTTCGAATTCAGCGTGGGCGTCGCAGGCGAAGGGAAGGAGGGCGGGGATGACACATGCTCTGAAAAATGGGAAAGAAAATTGGTAATAGCGAAACAATTGGCTGTTTCCAAGCCTCAGACCGCTCCCCCCCCCACAGTTAATGGTCTGTCCGTTGGATACTGTTGATTGCCCCCCCCCCAAAAAAAGAAATCCCTCGAAAAAAATCCTGGCGACGTTCATGAAGGTAAGAAGTGTCGATAGTAGGCACTCACTTAGCTTATTTAAACTGAACAAAATGTGTTTGTTGTGAAACTAACTTTAAATTAAATCCTGGCATTAAATTGAACTGTGCTGATCTCGCGATCATACATACGATACCTGGGAATCCTGGGAATCAACTTCTACGGAGCCGCTAAAGGGACATTCTGTATGTTTTATTTTGTGCTCGAGATAAATATCTCGTGTGCTGGACATATTCATTTATCTCGTGCGCACGAAATAAAAGGACAATTTGTCGACCCTTCCAAATGTTTGCTCGTCGCCCAGCGCCCGAACAGAGGGCTGGGAAGGGCTGATGGTCTTGCGCAGATTTTAGTGAAGGAAATACGTCACGCAGGGTCACAGCTGACGACGCGCATAGCATTGTGGGTAATTTTTGCCAGGCGCGCGAACTCGCTCAATATGGCGGCTATTTTTCTTTTTCTTCCTCATTGCTGAAAATGTTCCCACTATACTTCATTAATTCATCCAAATTAATCAAGGTAACCAATATTTTGAAGAATATCGAAAAAGACACGTGATCAGTGATACTTAGTAAGAAGATAAATTACCGTGATTGCATCGAGGCCGTGTTTCTATGGTAGAAGCCGACACTTTGGCATGTGCTATGGGGGGGGGCAGGTATAGCGTTGTGGTTCTACTTTCTCGCTTTGCACCAATGAAGCCCGGGTCCGAGTCCCAGCTTGGCCAAAGCTTTACGTGTATTTGGTTTCCAGTTCATACTCACTCTCGCAGGTTTTCTCCGGGTACTCCGGTTTCCTCCTGTCCTCTAAAACTGGACTTTCTGCCTAACTCTGCAATGTGGTGCTGATTAATAAAGGTCATGAAGAAAGGTATAGTTATTGGCGCAAACAGGGTTACTGGAGTAGCTGCAAGCGCCATTAAAACTTAACAACAACAGCCTGTGCTAAAGCATTGTCATTGGCTAACCAAAAAGTTCAAAATAACGCTGCGCTAGCAAGAAATGATAAGCACGATCGCCGTTGAAGGTCGTGCACGTCGTAAGCGATCACAATGCAAAGCCATCAGCCCTTCCCAGCGCTCTGTTCGTGAACTAAGCGACGAATAAATTCCATACGCGGATTGTATCGACAGATTTCGCGCCTGAAGAGTGGTCAACGCGTTGCAAACTCTTTGAAGCGCACTATTGTGAATCGCCCGTATTATCTCGTCTGCCCAAGATAATTTTCTCGTATGCACGAAATAAAAAAATTGAACCCGTCTAATTATGTGCAGGAGATAACTGTTTCGTACACACAAAATGTATTTCCTGCGAAAGAGATCATTATTTCCGGCACACGAAATAAGTATTCCGTTGGCACGAGGTATTTCTCGCATGCGTAAACGAAAGCAACTTGAAAAACACTTTAAAATTACACAAATGTTGTGAGTGGAGACATATAGAATTGCATTCAAAGTTTGCTTTTAAAAACAAACAAGCTGGAACGTGTTGGCGTAAATATAAATTATGATACAAATTACCATAAAGTTTTTTGTTTAGGCAGTAAATAGTCATTTTTCTACCATTAAATGTGTACCAATGCATGCTCTACTGCTTGTGTTAGAACTTCACCCCCTCCCTTCGAATAGTAAGTCCCAGACACTCACAGCCAATCAAAAAAATTGTTAGTTGCGAGTGTGCGAAGTCCGCAGGGTCTTATGCCGGCGTAACTAAAAAAATTGCCCTGAAGCGCTTGTCACTATACTCCGCGCGGAAAGGAATTGCATCGGCACTGTGCACCAGCATGTTACGAGTCGGGGCTGTTTTTGTCGTTGTCGAGCTATGCCTTTCCTGGGGAACGGGTGTCAACGCCCAGGTTGACGCAAACGGGACCTACATGGCGGTTAATCTGACTCAGGAGGAAAAGGACGTATTCCTGGGTGCTCATAATGAGTTGAGAGCCAAGGTAGACCCCGAAGCAGCCAACATGATGTACATGGTGAGTTGGGTGATGGGTTAGTAGTTCATAATACTCGAGGGATATAGGTTAAGAATCCCACTCCGAATCCACATTGTTTGGTCTCTCTTACTGTCATTGACATTTTGAAGAATGTGTTGTGTTATAGGACCGTATCATTTCGCCTATAATATGGGCCTAGCCAATGCTCGCTATATAAATGTATTTTGGGGGATGTGGTCGTCCTTTGCATACTACGGCTACGTGTACTAAAAACCAGTACATTAAGACTCCAGACAGATGCACAAGTTGGATTCATAGCCAGTGCCATTCTGAAAATACAGTCAAATGCCTTCCAGCAACTTTTAATGGTGAACAAAAAAAAGATGATATGATTGCTGTGTATATCGAATCGAGTAGCCAGGTAACCGGAATGAACACATCGGAAGTGACCCCTGACCCCAAACGGAACAGACTAAGCGACCTACTGACGCCTTCAGTCGCAGTTCACTGAAAGCACACAAAGCCCACTCAGGGACACAGGTTATTCAGATCATATTGGTCGGGGTCAAAGTAACAAGTCTTGCGAGTTAATAAGACCGATTACGATATGCCGGTATACTTGACTTAAAAAGCCCAGTGGCCTCGCCAGTTTAAGGTCTATTCCAACTAAACGATTCTTCTTTGAAAGTTGACATTTATTTTTTTAAGAATTATTTTTCCCTTTTCAACATGATTTTGCTTGTACCACTGTGACGTCTTTTTACTTTTAATTCCCACTCATGAGAAGGGTCATTCGAGCACGTATAATTGTACATGACTTTGGCTGGTTTGAAAGCCTTCCTGTATTTATTTTCACACTACATCTGCCGCTGTCAGCCGCAAACGTAAAAAAAAAATGCTTTCCTTGCCTTGCTTTTTCATGTACTTCCGAGTTTCAGTATATAGATACGGTACGACCCGACAGCTCTCGATATTTTCACGGTGTGAGCGTTGCTGAGTAACGCATATTAAGCTTCTTTCATGAAGTGCTGCCAGTCATAATTCAAAACAGACATTCATAACCCTGTTGCATAATCAGCTAATGTGCTAAAATTTAATATTTGCTAGTTTTAGCAGACTCAGGAAAACATGAAATGATTAAACATGTGTGTGATTCTTGTCATATGCCCACAAATCTTTAAGTGACCGTCTATAAGGTACTAACTACCAGCTGTTTGACAATTATTCGAAAGAAGGAAAAGGCGTCCGTCGGCTCCGCTCAACGGGAAAATAAACCCACCATGGGTCATAGTCTCGTCACGTATTCAAGATACATTCAAGTCCACCATGAGACTGTTTGCGTAGGTTCACGCAGCTGTTTCTGGACCAAAGAGGTGTATATAAAGCTCTATGCTATGGACTTAAAGATAAAGCGTATACAGAAGTCTGATCGCCATGGAAACTGCGTATGAACTAACAATAATCAATATATTTGTCATTGCAAAGCCACATCTGTTATTTAGACAATGTTTGGCCTCTTGTGCCAAGCGACGATAGCGCATTGAAGTGTTACAATGCAAAGATCAAGGGTTTCACAATCTTCTATGGCTATAAAATATATGTATTATGGTACTCCAGTTTTGAAACGTCATAGGCCTAATAGAGTTGGAACAACTTACCCCCAGTTTATGAACACGACCAGAGGCCAATTTCATAGAGTTGCTTAGTACAGACAAAAAAAGTACTTAAAAACAACCTTTACTTTAGCCCAAACTCTATGTGATTGTCATGCTAACCAAAAGACAGCTACGTGTAAATACCATTCCAAAACAACACACATCACATGGAGTTTTGGTTGGTTACCTTTAAGCAAGGTTTTTTCACGCTTAAACAAATTTAGTGCTTAAACTGCTTGCGCACAAACGATACGAATAAACAGTAGGCGTCATTATGGAATCCATTTTGTGGGCGGTTTGGGGGCAGCTCTGTGAAGAGGTGAACTGAAGAGCACCCCCGTTTATTTGCCATAAAATTATAGTATAATTTTGGTTAGCGAATTTCATCCTTGGTTCTTCCTATTACCCACGAACCCCTCTTTTTTTCTCCCGCACCCCCTTCTCTCTTCCACCCGTCGATCAACACTCAACCCTCATCACAGAAGTGGGACGAATCGCTGGCCCTGATGGCCCAGGCCTGGTCTGCCGAGTGCATTTGGGAACATGGCCAGCCCACTCCCAACATCAGCCCATTCACAAGACTCGGCCAGAACCTATACCTGATCACCGGCTACGGCAACCGACCCAGCGGTAAGGCCGTGTCCACCGCCTGGTACAACGAGATCCGCCACTACACGTTCGAGACCGGCGCCTGTGAGAGTGGCAAAGCGTGCGGGCATTACACGCAGGTTTGTGCCACCATGGCTTATTTAAAAAGACTGCGGACAATCCCTCCAAAAAGGTAATACAACAAAGATGATGAAATCACCAACTATGCATAACAATGATGTGACACAGTGTAATAATGTGACGCCAGATTCTTCAGAATCTCCCCCCTAGATTTACACCAGTAGTGGGCGGTGGCCCAACATGATCAGAATACAAAAGGTCGTGTGATATTATTGTAATGATTAAAAATATTAAAAAGGATAAAATGAGAAAAAACCTCTTGAATTCTTCACAACAAAACTAATTCGTTTCCCACCGACATGGCCTTGAGCACTCTTTTTAAATTCTATGGTTCTCATTTCCGACCGACCCTATTTTTGGCTCCCGACTCGGAAAAAAAACTTTTCTCCACCGACCTTGCTGAACAGCTAAGAGGACTTTGCCTTAAAAAGGTAGGGTGTGATGACCTGTACAAAAACAGCGCTGAAAATGTACGGGTGCGATACGATTTCACCCAAACCGAAGCTACGACAGTCGAAACACACGGTATGGCATAAATATCAGACCGCGCGGTACCGTACCGCACCGCACCCAATGCACTTCAATGACATGTGTAATTTGACATGGAAATATTACCTAAATTGATTTTAAACTATTACTATTTGTTTGGCAGGTAATTTGCATTAATTCATCACTCTTAAACTCATAAAAAATGTGTTGTGAGCTTACAAAATCATGTCAGATGTAACAGGGACACGAAAAAAAGACATCTAATTTATAGACTGACCTACATGCATACACACTGCACACATGAACACCGTACGGTGTCTTGACACTGACTCGAACGAGGTATAGTATTGTGTACCGATAATATATTTCTCTGTACTCAGCTAGAAACAGACAATTATGGTATTTAATAATTATAAAAACAAGTGACAAGTGTCCAATGTGTGCCGGTACTTTGCCTGATTTGTTCAGTCATCTATATGGTAGCAGCATGGATTTTTTTTTTTCAGGAATTGGTTTTGGACCAACCGACCGACCCTCCCTCAATTGAAAAAAGATATGAGAAGCAGAGAATATAATTAGAGTGCCCTTATTCTCGATTAACAGCGAAGTCTCGTGTGTATTTATGATCTGCAACATCGAAGACCAGCAGTTTCTGCGTCCCTGTTTCTCTTATGCCTCCAACAATCTCATTCCTACGGGGCCCCTATGGGACATGCAAACTCAGAGTACAAAAATAATTTCAGTCTGTATTTCGTGCGCACGAAATAGGCCTACAAACTGAAATTATTTTTGTATACGGGGTTTGTTTTCAACGCATGTCCCTTTAGGGGCTCCGTTAATTCCCTTATCCTCTTGGATATGAAGTACAATTCCTTTTCAATCTCACACGACAGCTTGCTTGGGCTACGAGCTACGCCCTTGGATGTGGAATGGACTTCTGTGAGTCTGCCGATAAAACAGACTACGATAACGTCTGGATTGTCACGTGTAACTACGGCCCGACGTATGTATGCCCAAACGCTTCAAGCAAAATGTTCATGATAAGGCCAATGATTAGGGTCTCATGCCCTGAAAGAGTAAAACGACTTTCCATCTTCAAGATCTGAGGCAGTCGCGTCCGAACCAACAGGTAGTAACGCACGCACCTATAGGAAAGGCATGATTGAGCCGCTGTCTCCTTCAGTAAGCGAACAGGTTATTTTAAACGGTAGTTTGGAAGCGGCCAGTCCAAAGCAAGTTCGAGCGACAAATATACTTGACCGTAATTTGACCAACGTATCTCTCTACAGGTGGTTAGTTAAATTATAGTCTAGTTGAATATTTCGAACCAGACCAAATAAGGGTATCTTAGGATCTTAGAGAAGTAAATACGATGACCATTACATGTAGTCAACCACTCGTACGATTTGGCGTGGTATTCCTGGTAATTATACGTTGTGCACAAGGTACCAGGAAAAGTCGAACAGTACTGGACAAATGGTTACTGCTCGAAATTGCTTTAGATTCCATTGCAGATTATCTGTTGCTTTTTAGCAACTAGGTAGCTAGAAAACCACGTAAATTGTTAAAATATATTGTCTCGGTTTGGATTATTGTAGTGAAATAAGTGTGGTCTTATTTCCAGCGGAAACGTTGGCGGGCTGAAGCCGTACAAACCAGGCCCAAATTGCACGAAATGCGACTCGGGCGTTGGGGAATGCTACAACAGTCTCTGCAGTAAGTCAGCATAGCTACGACCGAAAAATCCCCTAAGGTTGAGTTAACCTGGCAGTTTACTATGTTTACATAAAAGCTGGTATGGTCTGTGTGAGAGTACACAAAGACTGTGCTTACGATTCTAATGAAGAAGTATTGGGTGGCTAGCCGACATCTCAAAACGGCTGTTATTCCCGTGAGATGCAATTGCAATTTTACAGGATAATGATCTCATTTAAGATGGTTAATCCTCCTTTATACTAATTTTCGTCTCTCCCTGTAGGACTGTGTTCCGATCACACTGAGAAATGTGGTAAGTTTAACACCAAGTAGTACTCTAACCTGGGGAACATATTGGCCAGACCTGACAAGCAGGGTGTTCCTTTTATGAAGTGATGTCTATACAGCGTATTTACATTATAGGTTGTGAAGAGTTGGGTGGGGCTGTACGCAACCTCCCCCTCTCTCTGGAAAAAAAGACGTCTTGGAGTTACGGTCGTCCTCCGCAAAATAAAGAACAGCGAAAGAAACCATCAACAAAATTTTACCTTTAAAAGTGTCGTCAAGGCAAGCGAAAATATCTTTTAAATTAAAGTTAGAGTTTGATAACCCAAAAGGGCCCATCCAGGACGGTGTGTACATTTCATAGAGTCTTGTTCGTTATTTGTCTTGCAGTTTGTGCTCAGGCATGCGAAAGCTGTGGGGAATTGAACAGTACCAGTTGCTCCTGCAAGTGCCCAAACGGTTTCCAAGGAACTGATTGCGCTGGTATGTTGTATTAGCCTATCGAGGTTTTACACGTGACGTAACATGACGGCCAAACGCATTTCGGAATGTCCACGGAGAAGCGCGTATTTTCGAATCAGTTTATTTCTACTGGAAATTTCATCTACGCCAAAATGTTAAGAGACTTTGAAGGCGCGCACGTTTCCGCGCTCATCTGTGTAAATTGGACGCTGACCTTCAAAATCTCGGGACTGAAAATGCGCTATAGTCTTGGATTGAGTTCAGTGGTGCAGGCGTAGCATACATAGTGTCGACCTCTGCACAAAAGATGTCCACATAATGTAGGGTATGATGGCGTTGTGTGAATTTGTGTGGGTTTGGATGGGCTACGATGGGTTGTGATGAGTTTGATGGGATTGCGGTGGATGAGGTTAGAATCGTGTTTGGGGGTTGATTGAATTATGTCTGGTGGAGTGGGGTTGGGTCGGGTGGGGTTTAGTTGGGTTGGGCTGGGCTGGATGGGATATGGTTGGGTTGGTTATCAGAAACCGTTAAACTAGAGAAATGGGCTTTTATTCGTCAGATATATGTGAAGATTTCGACAGCAGGTGCGGCGTTTTAAATGGTGGATATCCAAAACCATGGTGTTGGGATGAAACTGCAGAGGACCATGAATTCATGCTCGCAACCTGTCCAGCGACATGTGAACTATGTGTCGGTAGGTGGTCGGGAGTATTGACTTTCACTATAAAGATAAAATCATTTGGTCCAGCATAAAACAGAGCTAGGGCAGCACATCTGGGTTTAGAAATTGTGGGAAATGGCCAAGTGTTTGCTCAATGAATCGGTTTGTTTTAAGTTCTACCTGTAGGGAACTTTGATACCAGGAGCAAATATCTCACGTCACACAACGAGGTGAAGTGCAACCGAAGAACAGTGGCCATGAGTTGTTTCCTTTTAAATGAGTTCAAATAAGTATATTAAAATAGAAAAATGATCTCTTAGTAGGAACCTCTATGACCTTATCTTGATGTTCATATTACTGCATGTCTGTTACCTAGCAACAGCGCCATCCTCCATCCAATTAATTAAGTCTTCAAGAATTAGTAACCGATTGACCTCTATTTCTAATTAGGCAACCCCTTGGAGGTAATTCTGTTGCCAAGATTTAAGGTCTTTGATGGGAGACGTTCAAATAAATTTATTCAAATATATGTTTCCACTGTGTCATATTTTTCCACACGCAGTTTGATGTTATGTAGCATTGGTCAGTTTTCCAATGGATTCCCATGAATTTAATTTCCTTATTCCTACAGTCGAGCAAGACCCCGATTCCTATTGTCCTGGTGAGTGCTTTTATACTGAAATGAAATGATTCAATAGTGTTGTTTTATTATAATTTTTTTACACACGTTATTCGGTGGACAAGAGTAAGTTATCGACTTTTCTATTGCATCCAGTACACGGCACCAATAGTCAACGTGTTGAAAGCAAATTCTGATCACATGACTTGGACCAATGCACTTTTCTTAGGTGGCTTGTTTTCTCGAGGGGGAGTTTGGTTAACATTTTCAGGCAATGCTAGAATTTTTATCCTGAAACTCTTCGAGGGAAGAAAATGGTAAAGTGCCACTAACCACGCCCACAAGGAACTCAACAGCTCCTATGTTCATAATAGCCCTTATTATTGAACATATTAAAGTGGTTTAAAGAAGGTGTTTCATGTGGGTGGTTCCTAATACCTGCACTCATTTCCCCTTTGCTTTAATACGTCAGTCATGTATGAAAGGTGTCCCAATATTGGGTACACCAGGTCACATCCAACCCGTCCATCCAAGGATAAAACACTATGGCGGACGTGTGTAGCGAAGAACCCTACTAAACAGCGCCAGTTAAACAAGCTTGCGACTATCTGGTCTTGACCCACACTATGGTCATTCATAAGAATCTCTTCAAAGACACTTTGACTGAACCCCTGTACTGTGAAGCCCAGATTTCACTACTACTGTATTAGAATTGCCTGAATTAAAATAAGAGATTTCTGCTTCCGACTTTTAGGGGTACCGACCTTAAAGCCACCGACGACACCAGGACCGACTCCCACTCCTAAGGTCTGTGTGCCGCTGGATTGTCAAAACGGCGGTGTTTACGACGAGGAGACGTGTGAGTGCAAATGTCCCCCTCAGTACCAGGGAGAACTTTGCGATAGTGAGTGATCACTTGATTCTTTCAAGTTCCTTGTAGTGGTTTCCTCGTTCTGATCTCAGTAAATGTACATTCTAGGGATTAAAATAAAATAAAATTAAGTCGGAGAATCTTTGACATGGCGCCTCGGTATATTTTATGAAAATGTCTGTACATTAGCTTTTCTTTATCTTAAAAATATGCCATGTGTGTATCGTTTTGGTTTGAACGAATGGCACTTTTTTTTTACCATTTTTGAACCCTTAGAATACATCGGTCGTCCATCGCTTTTCCCAAAGCTCATACGCTTTGTATCGATCATATTTCCTACGGTAACTCTATATGGTTGGGCCGAGATATTTCTAGAGGAGGGACAAAGCACAGCTCTGACAGATCGTGGAAAAGTCGTAGGGGAGCAGTAAGGATCATTTGATCATCGGGGCGCTTTTCAGATATTTTCTCATATGCAAATATATAGATTACCTGCGAATTAATGCGAATTACCTGCGATGTAGCTGCCCTCCTTCCTTCTTTGTTCTTCGTCTGTTTAATCTTGGTTTTCCATTTCCTTTTCCCGAGCAGATTGTTTTCTCACAAGAAAATATTTGATTTATCTGATCCAGTTAAAGCACTGGCGTAATGGTTGATTCAGTTGTCGTGGTGTTTGCCTTCTTCCCTTAGAACCAAAGCCTACCTTGGAACAAACATCAACACAACCCACCGAGTGTCCGCTGCTTGATTGTCAGAACGGCGGTAAATTTGACGAAGAGGCCTGCAAATGCAGATGCTTCCAAGGTTACCAGGGAAAACTATGCCAGCGTGAGTTGTAATTTGAAGAATCGACTTGTCCGAATTACTAATTGACGTCGGCATGAAGCCACAATCGGTCGGGCTCCATAGGCACACGCGTTAAATCCAGTCGTAGCAAAGGAATTTAGGCAGACTGTCATTTGGTCAGTTTCCTAAGTTAATAGGCGGCCAGAGTTTGAAAAAAAGATGTTCTCCCCTAGTCAGCAGCTTATGCCTCGAAATGCACGTTTGCTTCATCGGTCCACTTTATACATCACCCAAATACGAACCCGTCATCTGACGGGTGTGGGTCGGCAATCACGTGTCATGCTTTGATATAATCAACGGCGGACCAGCATCCTGTAATTAATTAAACACAACAGAATCATTCCGCAATTTTGCTCTAAGCACTTGTAAAATCTGAACAGAGAAGCTGAAGTTTGATTCCAACAGAATCTCTTTCAAAGGCAGTAGCACTGTTTAATATTTACATTATAATCCACGCACCGGCTCATCAGGAAGCCATGGAAAGCCCTTGGGACGGTCTGGAAAAGCGTATGGCATGGACAACCTCTGTAAGAGCTGACGTCAAACTATTTGAGGAAAATTGTTCGCCAAAGTTTTTAAATAAAACGATTTGCTTGACATCCTTTTATTACGTTTGTCTACAGATAGCAAAGAGGACATTGCCAATGGCGTGGTAATCATTCTCTCTGCGGACTTTAACAGGGTAAGTACTGTTAACTTTCTTCTCACAGTGCATGAGTAGGCTAACTTCCTCAACCTCCATCAGTCTGCGCCTTTAGGGGCGCTTTCGGATTACGTAGGCCTAAAACATAGTGACGTGTGCACTTTCTGAATGATAACTCTTTGAGCGCTGGGCATTGGCTAACATGGCGTGTTTTGATTGGCTACTGGGTGAGATATTAACACACTCTCTTCTACTTCCAGTGGGGGGAAATGGAACCGATTTTTAAAACAGGCATCGCAGAATCCTTGACGACACACTGCAATGACAATTTCGAAGTTTGCTGCCCAGACCGGGGTTCCAAGACAACGTAAGTTACATAATAGAGATTATAGTTTCACCTAACATGGAAAAAAGTTCCCTGTGATTTTAAAGGGGAACAACTAAATATCATAACCAAGGACACCTCGTCACTTTTCGTCCTTTTTCTTACAATGAATGAGGTCCCTTCCAAGAAAAGACCGTCATTGTGCTATTTATATGCTGCCTCCTACGAGTCTAATGAGTGTAGGCCTAGTGTCGACGCTGGCACTTTCACTTATAAAAGCACGTAAATCGAGAAGAAATAATCCCACACCAACGTTGGACATAAATGTATTATGCGCCAGCATTGTCACAGCAGCGCAACACGTTGCAGTCCCGATCCTTGGTATATCTGTTCTAGGATTTTCGAAATGCAAGTTTCTCTGAACAAAGGCTAAGAGCCACTCCCGCTCAAAAGAAAAAAAACTTGGGTAGGAATTAAAATGGTCAGAGTTTGTCTGTTGTCGTGTTATGAGTAAACTGGACGGGGGAAAACAATCTTTTACTTTAATCCAAGGAGATACTCCGATTGAAGTTGTGGACAAACTTACCACAGGGGAAAACGAACTTTAACAGTCGACAACTGAGCCAAAGATGGGTACCCATCGCATAATTTGTGTGTGTGTGCGCCCACCCAGTTCTAGCGACGGTTGTTGACGCACCCAACAATATATATTGCAGATCTGTATGATTGGCAAATTCCATCGACCTCCACGTCACTGTGGAGATCAATGGCCAAACGACTTCGGTTTTCCATCATTCTTCTTTTCCGAATCTTTCTTTTCAGCTCAGAAAAGTTCTCCTACGCGAACGAGTCTGACATTCTAGTCGCCAGTGGATATCCAGAACCAAGTGAAGACATCGAGAACGAATTTTCCACCATGTTCCTGGCAAGGGAACTGGGAGAATCAGAGCTGTGTGTCAAAGGGGGATCGCCAACAACTCAGAGTCGACAAAAGGCTGATACTGAACATGCAATGTACGAGAGGGATGCTACGCCAGGTAGAGTTCACTTGTCGGAATTAACTGCTGTTTATCGAATGTTGGCAGCCGTTTATGCTGCACTGAAATCGTCTGCGTTAAATTTTACCCCAAAGGAGGGTGAAAATAGCAGCCACCCCAAATCGGGTTTTATCAACCATGTTCATTGGGTTAGGATCAATTTCTGGTTCATGATTCTTAATCCACAAATGGTTTTACATTTTGGTCGAGATGAACCAGTCAGTTATTTTAATTCCCGAAGCAGTTGCAGTCTTCACCCTCATATGAGTTAAATTTAACCAAGGCAAAAATGTTTTCCGTGCGTATCCTGTTGAGAAGTAGGCCTGTTGTCTGAATACTGAGCTGAGCGTCTCGAATACTGAGGTACTGACGTATTCAGGAATCAAATCGCCTTTTTTTAAAGACAGTACTTCCATTCTTCAGTTTATAACTCGATGTGTGCTCTCGACATTCAATCTTTTTTTTGGGGGGGGGGATTCTCACCAGGCGCCTACCTAGATCAAGATCTCCTCCTTCAAGTCATTCGGAAGTACCAAGCGAAGCTGACAGAAGACCTGAATGATGCTGGCATCAACGCCTCGATAACCAAGGTGGAGGCGGGCAAGGTGGAACCGCCAGACATCGTCACGGACGTGCCGCCAGACCGGACCCCGATCTGGCCGCTGCCACCCCCGGGTCTCTCGCCTGGCGCCATCGCCGGCATCGTAGTTGGTTCGTTAGCGTTACTAGCCGTGTGTGGAGGGTTGGCGGTGTTCCTGAAGACAAAGTAAGTAAAAAGGAGGAAGATGTCGAAGAATTAAGGGTGCTTTTTCATGCATTTCAGTGCGCTTCGTGTCTTTCAGTTGCCGGCTGTGTTCATGGAGACTGCACAGGGGTGGAACGCGGTTAACACGTGCAGATACAGAAAGGACCAAAAACTAATATGTAGAGGCGGCCTTACCATAAAGAGAGATTGCGTTACGTATCTCAGCTAAGACGGCGAAAGGATCCATCCAAGAAATACATTTGAGCACCAAAACGTGCATACAATTTCACAACTTGGTCAAGGAAACTGACCTTGGCGTACATGTATCGAATTGAGATAACCCTTTGTTATTCTCTACGGCCGTTATGTATGGCCCACCCTGACGGGCTATTAGACGGGTTTAGATTAGAAGGACATTCCTCTGCGCGTATAGGAGAAATTTAATACTTAACTGAAAAAAAAAATCCAGGGGATGTACTTTCCAAAGTCACCACTTGACAGTCGCTAGGAAGATATTTCTCAACAGCAAAGATTACTTTTACTGCAGTAACGCACCTCAAAATTATAAGTTTGAATCGATAAATTTATTCACCATCTTCATTTTAGCAAACTTGAACAAACTGCTTAATGGAAGAATGATGCTGAAAGTTGACATTTCATCGTTTTCAGGATATGGAATTCCAGTTCAAGCACTGTAAAACCACTGAAGGTGAAGCAGTGTGATCTTGACTCTGGTAAGTCAGGTTTTTTTCACTTTGTAGAATTTGTCAATTTCCAAAAGCACTATAAACATGAGTTTATTTCACAAATTGCCAGTGACGTCGGACCTTTTTTCAGAATTCCTACCGTTCCAAATCTGATTAAATCATCAAGAAAATAAAAATCTTTCATATACACGATGCATCGAATAAAAACAATGTGTACCAGGCCTATTCTGTTTTTTCTTTCCCTTTTTTTAGATTAGAAAATACGTTCATCCATCTTGCTATTTTTTTCAGATGAATGTGATAGTTCTGCTAAAAGAAATGACGCAGAAACGAAATTTTGTCATTAGTAAGATGAAACCTGGAGTGGAGTTTTGGGTGGCAAGTCTACTGGGGAAGGAAGTGTGACAGTTGACACCCACAATGGATCTAAAGAATAGAAACTTGTGTACGTGCAAAGCTTTCTTCTTGCGAGATTGCACCCGGTAGAATTACACCCTGCCTGCGTACTTCTACATATATTTTGGAGCATCACCCCCCCCCTTGGAGTTGGTGGCGAGGTGTTTTTGTTTGTAATGCACAGTCTGGAAAATGCCCATCCATGCATTTTTTTCGCATAATATAGTTCTTTTGGTAGTGAAACAAAATATGTTTCACAACTTTTACCCCGTCCAAACATTAACGTACATAGCCCTTTGCTATTTCATACAAACTTGGTGTTTTCCAAGGTTAACTAAGATAATATAGTACATTATGACTGTGCGGAGTTGGCGACATTTTACAGTACCAACAAGCAATTTTTCGAGCAGCTAATTTTGTAACAACAGTTGACTGTCTCTTCCAATGGAGGCCACGTTCACAACCTTGGAATTACATACTTACTCATCAAAATGCCTCCATCAAAGTAGGAAATTATTTTGTTTTGAAATACATGCATTTGAAAGATCACCATGGAATATCACCATGGATAGATAAGTTTCTAAATGATTAATCTGTTCTGTAAAGTTATACATGCGCATGAATTGTTAAGTAAACAGGTTTGCGGTAGCACCATGCAAGGATATCTCTTTTGCTAGTATGTGTGGTTCTGAAAAGAACCGGTGCGTACTCAATATTTCGGACAGTATTCTCTGTCCGTCGTAAGGAGACTGCCTGACATGATAAATTAATTTTAAAATATTTACTTTAATAACAAAGAAAGAGTTAAAACCTAGGTTCAACTGAAAGTAAATTGGCTAAATGCGATTTGTTAAAAGAAATACAAAGACAAATTACAGAACAACATACGTTACAAGTAGCATATATAAATATGAATAAGTGAACTGACGAAAAAGATAAAATAAGAATAAAAAAGGATTATGTATATAAATGAACAAGACACAGTAAAAATAAGGGAAATGAAAATCTGAATTCGCCACTGAACAGGAAACAGAAAATGCAGCGCAGCAGGTCGAAAAGATTCAGAGAGAATATCAACCGTAAACTGTTACGAGCGTTTCCCATTATGCTTGACGTAATAATTCAATGTCACACCTCCATTTCTGTGTATATTTTGATCTATCGGTTTTTGAAGAATATACAGTTAATTTTATTGGAAATTCTTCTGAACAATTGACACTTTCTGAATAAGGTGACGTCACTAGAATGGTTTAAAATCGCGGCATGGAGTTTTTGTTACACAGCCGAACAGCTAGCAAGTGTTCCATCGCTTCTACGTTATATCAAACCTCACTGTTCAACTTTTGACACAAGGTCCCCTATTTGGTTTTGAAGATTCTCGTTCATGTAAATATTGTATAGGAGATCTTGAAAATTAAGGTATTGGCTCTAAGAAAAGAAAATGCAAATTGTTTTTCTAAAATAATATTCATGTTAAGTAGTGTGCTAGTTTTTTAAATAATAATTGCTAGCCCTTTTTTGTGCTTTGTAGTTTTGAATTTCATGTCGATCGTTTAATCTTCTTGCTGTAGGCCTATTTCACCTGCAACCGTAAACTCAATTTTCTGTGATGAAAATGTATATTATAATCCATGTAGTAGCCACGAGTCACTTGCCTGAACTAGATGAAAATATAACTGGACCACTTTGATATGGCATTGGCACTTTGTATTTATATTCCGTGCGTGTTTTCTGAGTTAATGGCATTGTTTTCACATAATTATTATTAAAGTATTTTTTGTAAATAGTAACTTATTTAGCCATACGTGTTTGTGATAAAGACTTTGAATATATTGTTGTAATAGAATTACTGCACATAAAGGCAGGCCATCGTACGATAATACTACATTTTAACTGAGCCCTATTACCTCTAAAAAGATTAATTAAAATAAAAATAAATACACACCTTTCCGCAGAGGATTGTTACCATCTTTGCGTGGAAAGCCCCAAGGTAAACTAAAATGAGACTGGGTATGCATTAACTTAGAGACAATGTAAAGTACCCTACATGAGTGTATTATGCGTATGGCTGGAAATGAATGAGCGAGGTCGCCCCTGCTCAGATTGCAGCCGAGCCGCGGGTAGTCTTGGTTCCAAGACTTTACTATCTGTGTTCATGTAATAATGAACGCTTTCGCGCAGAACATTTTACCAGTCAACTGAGGGCGCTATGTGATGGCCGATAGTGCAGGATTGTCGTAAGCGTAGGTAAGGCTGCATCTGAATTCGAATCTCTTGTCTAGAGCTAGGTCTAGGTCTTCGCTCCATAGGAATTGCGTGGAGACCTAGCCGTAGCTCTGGAAGCCCATGTCGGACACGGCCCAAAAAAAATTTTAAAAATCAAAATGGACTCTGGTTCAAAATGAAAGTTGCCACCGATTTATCTGGTTATTTGACGTGTTTACTTTGTCCTTTCTATATTACCCTTTCATTGTCAATGCCTGGTGACAACCACAGGTGTTCTGATATTATATACTACATCTATTTGAGCACCGCATACAATGCGGAAGTCGTTAAAACTATGCCCCAAAATACGTCTTTTATTTATCAGGTATACGGTTGTCAATTTTATCCTATGATGGAGACACTTTTAGCTTCTCAGTTAAACTACTGCATACTTCAGTCACATACTATAACTCTGAAGGCCACGTGTCATGTATAATTGCAATGTTTTATGATGGGAATAACTATGAACTGTAAAGTATCTTGAATACAGCATCTGGCTGTGAATTTATGACTGCAAAATGAGACCAGCATTAATTCAATGTTATCTGTCAAGCAAATAGAGACAAGGCAAGCGAGGGAAGTTGGTTAAAATAACCCGTAATCGGTAGATGTGTCCAACCAACCGATTGTTTTGACACATACTTGCTACTTAGTTGCTGTTTTGTACCATTTTTGGTTGTTTTAATCAATCTCTTTTTCAGAGGGCATACCTTGCAGGAATCCGCCCTAATTTCACCTAGACAG